CATTGAATCAGTCATAAGTCTTACTTCTAATTTCTTTTTGAAAAATAATTTTGATTACATTATTTGTTTACTTACTACTCCTCATAAGACATTATATAATAAAATGTATATGTAACTGTATAACTTTAACATTATTTTCAAGCAATTGTATAAAATTTATATGTAATCAAAATATTTCTGTTTCTTTTATTGATCAGTTCTTTAATTTTTTAATTAAATTAAGACACAGCACAATAAATACAAAAATATAAATAAACCACACAGTCAGATAAATATGAAACATCTTATTAATTTACTTTTATCAATAACTGTTTTGTGTCCAAACATCCCTTCCTTGCCTGTTGGATCTTCAGTTTGTGATACACGAGCATATCATATGTTTTCCACCATCGTTAGTGATATAGGAATTTTTACAAATTTTCACATTGTTTTTGTGCAAAGTTGGCATGAATACGTGTTCCAGAAAACCACCGAAATTGTTTCTTACCAGTTATATTCTTGGCTTTGCGCTCTATAGCATATAAAATCTATTCTGCCCAAGGGGTACTGCAGTAACCTTACATAATCATGTTGAAAGATCAACAAATGCAACAGCATAAGTGGATGATGTCTCTATATTACAAGGGACAAATGCTTTGGGAGAATGACTGGTCATGTGATGATGCTATCACAAATAAAGAGTACAAGGTTTCTTGCTAGATCAGAAGCTATATTTTTTATTACTTCTCTTTGGTTTTCATCGTGTTTAGTTCGGTAGATATTCACCTTAAGAGACAGAAAGTTAATGATCAGTTCACTAATCCAGTAGATGCAATTGCCTAAGTGTCTAACAAGTATGCACACTGTGAGTTTACTAAAGATTGTTTTTTACTTTCCTTCAAAGGTGTCCAGTATGATGGTCCACGCACATATGGTAAAAAATGAAAAGGTACAAATGAGAGCCTCTAATGCATTTTTTTCATTCCTTATATGGAGACAGACCTCAGACTGCATTTTGAACTAAATTTTTGGTTTGAATTTATGCACAAAGCTACATGCCCACCACGGGTATCGTAACTCGGTTTCTAACATTGTAAGTCCGCAGACATACCGCTGTGCCACTGAGGACATTGAACTAAATACATCAATATTTAAGGTTGGCACAAATGTGAAGAAACTTGCCACAAGTTTACTTCTCCAGTTAATTTTCTTAATTATCTTTTGTTTATTGGTTGGCAAACAATGCTTTCAATGGTATTTGCTAGAACTACTGGTCCATCGAGTGAACCAGAAATTGGTCTGTTTAAGAGATTCTAAACACGATGGGAATCACTTGACAAATCTCAGTTCAGAGCTGCCGATGATGACGAAGATATTCACCTTCTCTTCATCAGCACAATGAAACAGGAAAAGGATGAAGCAATGCTATATTTGAGTAAGATATTACAAATGAAATCATATTCCACAGATGATTACAAAGAACTTTTGAAGTTTCATCATGCACGTTGGATGGCTAAAGCCATATATGCTATTAAACTATTTCTCTTTCGAGAACAGTTCAAACTGACTGACCAAGCATGCCTTTTCATAGCCATGATCTATGCTTGCATCTGGAATGAAGTTCCTACGGAGACGGCTTCACCCTTCAATGATTTGCAGAAGGCAGCTGCTGGGTTAAAAGTTGTGAATGACTCTGCAGAGAGCGTTATTGCTCTGATTCAAGCATTTAACTCTTCTATCACTAAGGGCAAAAATTAAAAGCAGTACCTTCTATGCAAGTTAAACTACACCAAAAGACATTTCCGAACCCCAGAAAGGAAAATTTGATGTCATAAGTGATATGATAAATTGTTGTCTTATTATTACTATAGTTATATGCTATTCAGATATGCAAGACACTATTAAAACTTTCATTCAGTTTGCTAGTGATTTTTGCAGCTTTGTTTTTGTTACTGAATAAAAACCATAATCACAGATATTTGGGTTGCCCTTCTCTATAATGTATAATGATATTGAAGTGTTCAAGTTACACCACCTCTAAATTTGCACGAATCAGTCCAGTTTTTATTTCCAACATCGTTAGTGATAGTGGAATATAAGCAAATATCATGTGAAATGATTTTTATTTTTTACATTTTTGGACCATCCTAGTGTCCAGTCTGTTTACTTCTCATACAGCTTAAAACTCAGGCGAGGTTTCGAATTCAGATTACTCTGTAAATTTCATGCTCAATATTACCATTATTAAATGGACCAACCTCATACTTGCAAGTAAATCACTTTATATGAAATACCACACCTGTTCCTATGAATACCAAAAAATAACAGTCAATAAAAATGCACCTTTATATCAGATTTTTAACATTGAATGTCACAGTTTAAAATGTTTCAATATCCTAATTTTATTTAAAATTTTAAATTGCATTGAGAATTACACACACGTGAAAACTTACTAGCACTTACTATTTTCTCTCCCCTCAAATTTTACTCTCATTCATGCAAACAAAGCTGTAGAACAACAAATCAAATAAATTTTATTTATTTATTACAGTTTGAGGTAATGACAGCTGATGCCTGATTATGGTGGCAGTTTAAAATTTTACTATCATGAAAATTATTTTCACTGTTCTTGCTACCATTGATGCCAGTCACATTCTTGTATCAAGTCCAATTTCATGCTTATTTGAAACTGATGCCTGTCTAATTCTTTTTTTTTTTCATTGTGGTTAATGCTAGATAGATTTAATTAATCTGTTATTGGAAAAGCTTTTTTTTTTACCTCTAGCAGTTATTTTCAGAATTTTAAATTCTGTTATTCGCCTATTGTCAAAATAAAAGGCTTTTAGTTATATTTCTTAATAATCTAAATATATATTATGTTCTTGTTCGGCTTAGGATTATTCTACAATAGGTGTCTGTGACTTGTTAACGATAAATTCAACAATGAATAGACAGCACGCACTTCATTTGTTTTCAAAATAATATATTGTTACGCCTCTGTGTTCGTTTGTTAATTTTCCGTAAAAATTCTTTCCGAAGAAACTTTAGCGATACAAGTCCTTTCGTAAATAAAACTAGTTTATTCTTTCTCAGTACAACTTTGCAATATACTTAATTTACACAGTCACTCTATAACTTAAACAAACGCTATAATTCACAACGAACGATTCACTCGCTTAACTCAATTGTCCG